GAGAGAGAGAGAGGTTCATGTGATGGAAAAAAAAGATATAGGGAAAATGTAGGGGAGAGAAGAAATAGGAAAAGCAGTTAGGGAGATAAGGGAGGGTTGAAAAAATATGGTACGTGGAAGTTAGAGAGAGAGATAAGGGAGAAATGAAAAAAGTGGTACAAGAGGATAGGTTTGTTTTTTCTTTTGCTTGTATTAAAAGAGGTGTGGCCCCTCTTTGAAGAGAGGTTATTGGAGAATAAAGAAAGAATTTGATCTTGTAAAAAGATCTTGGGGTGCACTCCCTTGCAGACCCTAAGAGAGGTATAATCTCTCAACTTTTATTTTATTTTATTTTTTATTTCTGTTTATTATTTTTCTCCCTGCATCACTTGCTAGAGTCCCGAGTTAGAGACTTGGCCAAGTCCTAAAAAGGTAATAATGAAATATTGGGATGTGGCAAGACATGGTTGGTTCTGGTGGTGTGGTTGCAGACTCGGCACCCTGCCAAGTCCAAGTAAATTGGGTGAGTCCAAGGCAGACACTTAGAGTTCTGATTTACTGGTGTAAATCATTTTAGTTGTCTTTCTCATGCCGTGTATTCATATCCTTTCTGATAGTGTGACAATATAAGGTTCTTATCCACATTGATTTGTCTAGGCATATTCTACTCCCTTGTATAAGACCGTCTCTCATTAGGACTGGAAGAATGATTTGACCTTAGAGTTCACATTCTTCTTTGTATCACCCTTAGCATTATTCTCAAATTCTTCATTATGATTCTCCTCTCCTAATATCAGCAAATATGCCGTCACGCATCCCTCTGTAAGTTTAACAAGGAAAAAGAAGAAACGAGATATGTGAGGTGAAGAACGCAAGTTATCTAACCTAGATAAGTTTCACAAAAGGCACCCATACAAGCATATGTAGTATACAAGTAATGTACACGCAGCCTCATCTATTGCTCGTCATTGATGATAGATGGTAGGGATAATCATGTCATGCTCAAAGTCTGGTATTGTCCATCAAGTGGAGCTGCGAACCATCTCCATTGTTGGTGCTCAGTTACAAATAGTGGAAGTCAGTGCGTGTAGAGCTATAAAATGCATGTTGGACGTACAATATACTTTTTCTAAAATCACTAAAATACCACCTCCTTACAAGTGATCCAGCTGCAGCCACAACCACTTGCACTATATGTCAAAATCATAATCAAAATATGGATGACCAGGATCACACTGGTATCATTGAGCTGCTTCAAAATTTATTCATAAGGTTAAGAATGTAGGACTATCTTGTTTAATACCCAAGGGAATAAAGAAATGAACCGTATGATCTCTCTAGCGGATAGCAAGGCCCTTTCCATGTGAACGGAATGGGATACGGTGTATTATGCCTTATAATATTCTTTGTTGCTCAAATAGTTATTTATTGATTCAGTTCTCAGCTAACCTCAATGCTGTAGTCTAACATCAATACTTCATTTTCTAGGATGAGTTAATGAGCAATGAAGAGTTATTCTTTGGGCTATCTCAGGTTCTTCGCAAATTTCCAAAAGAAACAGGTAAATTTTACTTAGTAATTGTCTTCAACCTATTTGCAGGTGCTAAAACAATTTTCTTATTTTTTAACGCAATGATTTTTATGCATTTTCTGCATTTTATTTAGATAGCTTATTGTCTGTCCTTTTCTCTCTAGATAGGGTACTTTGTCATTTCTGTTTCAAGCCAAACAGAGTCACCACTGATGCCGCAGGCCTTGTGAATGCACGAAAGAGCCAAATGTTAATTGCAACTGTTATCCTTCTTAAAACTGCTTTGGATGCTTTGCCCCTGCTTTCCAAGGTACAATCGTGTGGTTACATGATTTCCTAGCTTTGGCATTTGGTTTAAAACCTGAATTTTTTCAGGCACTTAAGGATTCGAAATGCTTCCTCCTACGCAACATTTATAATATTTGTGGAAATGAAAAATATGATGCCATAAGGAAAAGGTATGAATCAACCCTCAATGTCAATTTTTTATAAGTTAGTAGTTGCTTATAATGCTTCTGATGTATTTAGTCAAGAATGTCCAAGCTTCAGTAATGCTTTGATTGATGATGATTCATATTTTTTTATTTGCTGAACTCATGTCTTCGAAGGAAGCCCTCATGGCAGTGCTATTGCATCTTTGATGTTGTTTTTACTTCAAAGTTTCTCTTTTGTCTTAAGTAATTTGGTAGTCACTTGAGGTATCAATTAGGAACTCACAGAATTTGTGTTGTACATTTATGCACGTGTGTTTGTAGCCTAGCTGAACACCTAGCCTTTTTTTAATTGTTTTGGTTCGAAGTTACTTTTTTGTTTTAAGTAATTAGATAGTCACTTGAGGTATAAATTAGGAAATCAGAATAATTTGCAATGTATACGCATGCGCATGCCTGTGTAACCTATATGAGCCCCTAGTGTTTTTGCATTATATACGGACACATAGATATATACGGACACACAGATGTATGTATATAGGCACATTTTTTACATAAATTAGAGGAACAGCAAAATTTTGATACCGTGCAGTTTGCATGAAAAAAGAGAAACTTTGTGATTAATAATAATGAAACTTTGACAACAGCAACATGATGGATAGTGGTCAATGAAGTATTTAGCACATTGTGCTAGAACCCCTAGGCCATTGTAGAAACAATAGCCTATGGTAGGAATGAATGGTGATATCTAATGTGCAGTGAGATGATATGTGAAGAAGTACTGCTATGATGAGCTTCAGGGAATAGAAGCTCTAGGCACATAAATGTGGTCTGTGTTAGAAGAGCCCTTCAAATATTTCATGTAGTGTTTTGAGGACCAGGCCGAGTTGATTCGAATTTTATGTTCAACTCGGGGTACATAAAAAATTGAAAAAAATCCCATAAAATATAGAAAAATATGGGATTGTTGTATAAAGTGTTTATATATAATTTGTATATGTATTGGCAAAGATTATGAGTTTTTTTTTTTCCATATTCCCTATTTATTTATTTTACACGTCTTTGGACTTTTTAAAATATCTCCTACTATAGACGAATTTTGAAAGGACACGGTTTCTATGAGTCTATGTAGAAATGAGTCACCTCATAAAGATCTATTTTTGAGATGGATTTTTTGATGTATTTTTTTAGGACATGTAATCTCTAACATGGAGATCATGAATATGGAAAAATAAATAAAAATTGAAAATTATAAATAATAATTCTATTAATAAAATATTTGGACCATTTACCGTTAGTATCAATTGTTTTTAGATGGACCACCTATTTCCATCCATTTTTTAGATGGATGCTTTATACCTCCAGGGCCGCAAATGTAGAAATGCGGTTCTTGCCGCATGAAACAATTTTCCATTTTGAAAATTCATTTTTACACTTTTTTAAGCGTATTTGGATTATTTAGCTCACTTTTGGTTTTACTGGACCTTTATTACATTTATTATATTTTAAAATATTTTCCTATCTTCAATATTTTTCTAGGGCTTTTGGCCTTGTACAGTACTCGGGCAAGTCTGAGTTCCACTTGGACTTGCCCAAGTAACTTTCCTCAGGCAAGGGCTGAGTACCTGGCATGAAGGGAGTTCAAAACACTGGTTTCATGTGTGCATGTTTATGTGTATTATATAGGATGGCTCATGTTGAGAGCACGGTTCTGCTTGTGCACATTTGAAGAACCCTACATATGTTCCTGGGATATACACATAATGTATGCTAGATGCAAGAGACGTAAATAGCAGCCAAAGCTCTGTGATCTTATTAGTGATTTTTTTATAAAATAGTTCCTTTTTATCCTTTCAAATGTGCATAACTATGCAATTTTTGCACCAACTACTTGAGGATGTCTGAGTTTCTAGAAGAAAAGGAAATGCCAATCAAGGTATAAGACAGTCAGCAAACACAAACATTGGGCATAAAGTCTTTCAAGGTTTTGGTTGCAACAGTGAACATAGGCCTTATAAATTTTTTGTGCTCCTTGTATGTACTAAGTTTTTATCAATGAGTTTTCCTTTTACCTGTGGTAAATATTCATATTGTTGGAATATTTCTCACAAGTATTAATAAGGGTGAACTAAATACTCTAGTCTACTCATGTCACTGGTGTTGAATACATCTATTTTGATATTCCCCTGATAATGGTGATGCCACTTCATTGACATTGAATATATTTTAGTGCTGGTTGGCTGTTGGTTACTTGTTATAATAAGTTGCTGTTTCGTGTCGTGCCATGTCTTGGTGCGGGAATTCCAATGTGTGTTAGTAACTTCTAAGATTACTAATGATAACTTTAAGCCTAGGTTCTATTCCATTTCATCAAAGTGCCACTTTTCCTAGTTTTTACTCCTCTGAAGTAATGTTGAGGTCACTCATGCTTAGATAAATATCTTTAATTGGAGTCAAATTCATTGTGCATATTATCAATTGGAGTCTCATCAAGGATTTTGTTTTTTATCCTTTAGAATCAGAGATTATATAGACGAGGATATTTTGCATGCGCGGGTTCCTTTTGTTGCCCGTACTCAGCAATGTTTTGCTGTCAAGGCTGGCATTGATGGATTTCTTGATGTTGCACGTAGATCTTTTTGTGATACCAGTGAAGGTATTACTTTGTTAGTTTGGTCTTAGCATGTATATTTGGTGAGCAGAGTGATTTACTTGGGTGTCTTAATTAATGAATGAATGACAGCTATACATGACCTTGCAAAAAGATATCGTGAAGACTACCAACTGCCAAATCTGAAGATGCCCTTTAACAATAGGCAGGGATTCTATTTCAGTTTACCACAAAAGGACATAAAGGGACTGCTTCCTGGTATTTTCATTCAGGTTAAAAAGTTTATGTACTTGTTCATATTCTCAATTCTTCATATTTTTATGGAAATTTCATGTGTGCTTCTAACTTGTGGATCAGATATTGAAACATGGAAAGAATATACATTGCTCAACTCAAGAACTTGAATCTGTGAGTGCACTAGATTCTATTATACCTTCATTTTTATTTATAAAGAAAAAGACATCTTCATTCTTTGGAAATGGTTGATAGACCTCCAATTTATCAATGTTATGCATGCATGATATAAATATCATAAGCTTGAAGAGGATGAAGACGAATTCGTAGGATTTGGATGTCGGAAGTAAAAGAAGGTTTGAAGGGGACGAAGATAGGAAATGCTGTAGGACCATATGACATCCCGATAGATATTTGGAGGTGCATGGGGGAGATTGACATTGAGGCTGACCAAGCTGTTCAACAAGGTGTTAAGAATAAAGAAAATGTCAGATTAATGGAGGAAAAGTATTGTGGTACCTATTTACAAGAACAAAGGAGATATACAAAATTATGTGAACTATTGAGGGATCAAACTTATGAGTCACACTATGAAGCTCTAGGAGAGAGTGATTGAGCAACGACTAAGGCATGAAACGAGTGTATCAGAAAGCTAATTCGGTTTTATGCTAAGGAGGTTAACAACTGCGGCTATTTTCCTACTTAGGCAACTGATTGAGAAGTTTAGAGCAAAGGGAAAAGATCTCCACATGGTCTTTATTGATCTAGAGAAAGCTTATGATAGAGTACCTCAAGATTTGATTTGGTGGGATGTTGAAAAAAAAAGGAGTCTTCGGACACTACATCAATGTGGTGGAAGCACTAACTAGCATGCGAACAAATAGTGGAGAGATGAGTGAGCTTTTAGTGACAATAAGTCTATATCAGGGGTCAGCATTGAGCCCATACCTCTTTGTCTTAGTTATTGATGCCTTAACTAGGCACTTACAAGATGAGGTATCACCGTATTTGTTATTTGCGGACGATATAGTTTTGATCAAAGAGACCTGAAACGGCTTTAACGCAAAGCTAGAACTTTGGAGGGATGCTTTAGAATCCAAAAGTTTTAGAATTTGCCGAACTAAGACAAAATATATAGAATGTAAATTTAGTAATAATAGGGTAAAGATGTGGAGATTGACGGCTAAGAAATACCAAAAAGTATGTACTTTCAATATCTTGGGTCGATATCTAAGAAAATGGAGAGATTGATGAAGACATCGCACATAAATTAGAGCTGGGTGGGCGAAGTGGAGTTGTGCAATTGGAGTTTTATATGATCGTCGCATACCAATGAAGTTGAAGGGCAAGTTCTATTGGAAATTTGTGAGACCAACTTTACTTTATGGGCAGCATGTTGGGCGATCACAAAAACAACATACCTATAGAATGAGTGTAGCTGAGATGATGATGCTGAGATGAATGAGTGGCAAGACAAGAAATGTTAGAATTCAAAATGAATACATTTGGAAAAATTTAAGTGTAGTACCAAATTGCGATAAGATGAGAGGAAGTGGACTTAGGTGAGCTAGCCATGTGCAGCGCAGACCCAATACAATAGTTATTAGGACGTGCGAGTTAGTTCAAGTGGAATGCTCAAAGGGGTAGACCCAACAGGACATGGTTGGAAGTAATGAGAAAAGATATGGGGACTTATGACTTCATTGAGGGCATTGATATAATAGAATGGTGGACCCGGATTCGAGTAGACGACCTCAATTAGTTGGAAAAAGGTTCTTATGATGATGATGAAGCCTCTCAATAACCCTAGTCTGTATGTCCATCTTGTGCTTAAGCTGATTTATGATTTAACCCTTCCTAATGTTACATATGATGTGAATTTCATACACTGGTTCTTGCATTCACTTATGATAGAAGTTACTAACACGACTTGTAATGCAGTTGAATGTGAGGAACAAGTCTGCGGCTGCAGAATGCTACACAAGAACAGAACTTTGCTTGGAAGGTTACACTTATTTTCTACTAAACAAGTGTATAAAAATAATAGATTTTCAGTGTTATATTGCTAATGATGTGTAGATTGACGTTTTCTTTGTCATTTTCTTGGGACAATGTTGAAAACTACACTATAAAGCCAGGGTCGACATGCAACATGTCAATGTGTCTTCATGTGCAAGACTGTTCCATGTCTTTGTGGGAGAAACGTCAAGCCCTGCTTTATATGAAAATTTTCTTATTGGCTCGAAGAATGCATGATAAAAATATTGAATAGTCTGAATGCATGCAAGCCATGGAATAGATGCCCATACGTGAAATGCATAACAGTTTGTTCCAGTGTAATTCTACCGAGTGAAATTACATGTACTAAATTCAGCCACCAATTTATTTTTCTTAGTCAAATTGTTGCATCTAGTCTAATGTCTGTGATCAATAGTATGCTTTCTTGAAATGCATTCATATCTTGATGAACATTATTGGTACCTAATCACTCATAAGAATATAAGATTATGAAACTTCTAATGCATATAACACCACATGCTACATTCAAATGGATATGCATGTAAAATACATGAGCAACGTTTAAAATACCAGCATTTATGTTTGTGATGGCAGGGGTCCAAGCTGATATAATACAGCTGCGGCTGATGTACTGGGGTTTAAAAATGGAAAACAAAATATAATTTAACAGTTTAGGGTAGCTTCAATAGGTGATAAAATGAGCGAAACTAGACTAAGGTGGTCTGCTCATTGCAGCGTAGACCTAGAACAACAGCAATTGCGATTTGATGAAGTGGAAGCTGAAAATATAAAATGATCCTTAGAAACTACTCGTTGATAAATAGCAAAAGCTAGTTTGTGATCTTGTGGCATTATCTTATGTATAATCATATTTTGCACAGAGACAATTCAATTATCAAGTGTTGGTATAATCATATTGACCTTTAAAGATATCTATTACCAACAATAGGCACAAATTGACCAGTACTTAGCAGAAACCCTATGCCATCAAATGCGATATATTCCAAATTATGTAGTGACCGGCATCATAAGGAGTTCCTGGTTAACAACTTCTCATGGTTCACAAATTCTCATATCAGGGATCTCTCTTATCAGTGCTTTGTGCATCCGAGTTTGAGATGATTAAAGCATTTCCTTGAGTCTGCCATATTGCTACACCTTGCAGATTTCACTTCTCAATGTATTTGCTTATTAATACGTTTGTTTTTCACTCTTCTTGCATGGTTTTGAATTATTCCTTTGTAACTTTTTTCTCCCCTTTAAATTGGCTTTAAAATTTTGTACAAGTATGTGTTTTGTACACGAAATTGGGATCCTAAAGGATCACCTTGGTTTACAAATAGGACATCACAGGAGCAATTTTGAGTACTCCATCATTTGTTTATAATATTTTATGTAAACCATGAGATCCGTTTTCTAGTAACCCGAATTGGAACATGCTCTCTAAATGAACCTCAAGCTCATTCACTTCTGCATGACAGGATTTCCTTATTTTTTTTGCTTTTTAAAGACCTATTGACTCTCTCTCTCTCTCTACAAGACTTTTTTTTTATATATTTGTTTTTAACAGGACTTGTTAATTCCATAAGAGAGGACGCTTCTGTGCTTACGCTACTTGCAGAGACTTTATGTCTCTTAGACATGATCCTAAATTCATTTGCACATACAATATCAACTAAGCCTGTTGATCGGTATACACGGCCGGAATTTACTGGTACAATCCTTGGATTATTTTTTTACGTTTGAATGTGAATTTGGGTTTGGACCATTGCCAATAAATGTATTCATTTTCATACAAATGCTGGTTAGAGAATGGTCCAATTGCAATTGATGCTGGAAGGCACCCTATCCTGGAAAACGTACAGAATGAGTTCACTGTATGGCCATTTCTTTTATCAATTATCTTCTTGGAACTACTGTATTAATTGCACTTTCTGCAGTTCTATTCTCACTATCTGTGTGATTTTAGTTTCTTATCGTTTATTCAATAATGGAATATGCAGCCCAACAATATCTTCCTTTCCGAGGCATCCAACATGGTAATCGTCATGGGTCCAAACATGTATGAACTCATAAATTATGAGTTTCGCTTTACACAAAGCAGAAGTCCATGATAATCCAATGTAATAGAGAGAAACCATGAGGTTGTTGGCTCATCTCCATCTACTGAAATGATGGATGATGGAGAGAGTGAGACCCACTCATAGGTGATTTCCTCTTTGGTAGAACCCACACTCTCACCATCATTCATGGACGGTGGTGACCCTAAGAACTAGTATGCATTTCCCACCGAATGTTATTCCATGATTAATGAAATCCTAATCATTCTTCATGAGAGAATATCATTCAGTGTCCAACAATTACTTTGTGCAATTTTCTTTGGTATTAGAAATATTTGCTCACAAATATGACATTGATCAATTTGTATATTTGTATTGTCTACCAGGAGTGGTAAAAGTACTTATCTTCAACAAGTTTGTCTCGTTGTGATACTTGCACATATTGGGTGCTACGTCCCCGCACATTTCTCATCATTGCGTGTGGTAGACCGCATATTTACTCGCATTGGAACAGGAGATAATCTGGAATCCAACTCTAGTACGGTAAATTCACCTTCTTTTTGGATGTGCATAATTTGTACTCATCCCATTCTTTATGCTTTTGATTTCCCATTTAACATACACCAATAAATTCAGATTATTTTTAAAAAGTTCAAGCGTTTAAAGGAAAAATAAAAAATGTTGTGATATTTGAGATCACATAGTGCACATGATTTGATGCTTGAAAGGCCTATGAGATCATGAAATAATCCAACCCAAATACTAAAAGGAACTAATATAAAAAGAGGGGTCCCACATGTATCCTTTTGTTGTTTAATGATCAAATAATTATTTGTGATTTCTTGGTTCACACCAATGTTTAAAAAAATGGATTGGTGACCTGGATCGCTGATCTGGAAGACCGATCCAGTTCGGTGGATCAGCGATCCAGCCCAGCGAACCTGACAATAAAAAGTAAAAACATTGAAAAATTTAAAAATAATGGTGGGCCAAGTTTTGTCCGAGAACTGGCCAGAACCGATTGGTTCATAGAAGGAATCAGCTGGTTCCCGATATATTTCGGGATCCAGATTGGCCTAACCAGGTTCCAATCAGGATTGTATGGCTCCGATCTGGATCACCGTTTTTTTAAACCTTGGTTCACACAATTGGCCTAACCAGGTCCCAATCCGGATCGTTTGGTTCCGATTTGGATCACCATTTTTTTTTAAACCTTGGTTCACACACGATGTATTGGAACTAGTTGATAGGATTTCAAAATGTTTAAGTTGCACGTACAATACATATCAAGCATTCTGATTGTGTTGGAGCTACTTGCTGAGAATTTCATATTGTGCTTGAATTATATGAATGTGGATCGCTCCATATCTTCTAGTGACTTTGTCAAACTAGAAAGGATCAGTCAGTGCTATTATGTATGTTGCAATCTCCATCACGTTTTTGACTGCTGATTTTTCCAATTAGAGTGGTTCAGTCAGTGTAGCCTCTTCTCATTAGAGAGATTGCATCACTTAATTCAATGTTGATAATCCACTAACTTAATGAGAAAACACTGTGATTTTTAGAAATGAAGTGGTGTCATCTACATATATATATAATATAATTGATATGTGTCACTCAAATTTAGTAGGGAATGTATACGTTAGCAAGGTCTTTTGTATGCATTGGATTATGATATACTTTCCCAATTTATGATACATTTCTTCTGGTTATTGTCAACTACTTGAGTAAAAACCTTTTTTTCGTTATTCATAGGAGTATGATATGCTTTCGCAATTTATGCTACATTACTTCTGGTTATTGTCAATTACTCAAGTGAAAGACCTCTTTCTCCTCAATTTATGAGCAGTTTATGACCGAGATGAAAGAGACAGCTTTCATCATGCAAAATGTGTCGCCAAGGTACGAATACCCAAATCCTTAAATTTGGAATCTGGCATGTCATTCGGTACCTTGTGAGAGGAAAATGTATATTTGCATGGAATGTTAGTACAGTTGTTTGCCTTAAATCTGGGAAATATTGATCTGCATCTTACAATATTGGATCTTGACTTAGGAGCCTGATTGTTATGGATGAACTTGGTCGAGCTACCTCTTCCTCTGATGGCTTTGCTATTGCATGGAGCTGTTGTGAGCATTTACTCTCATTGAATGCGTAATACATCTTTAACTCAAAGTCATTGCAGGTCCTATTTTCTCTTCCAAGATTTTGAAGTGTGTGGCAAATGTGCCAGTTTTGTAATGTTGAAAGATACATATATGGATAGTAGATCTGTAATGAGTTTTATCGCAAATGGTGACATATATATTTCAATTTAACTAAATAACTTCTTTTTTATTTTATCACTGCTCTCAAAAACGTTTTCTGATGCACTTCCTAGTTCCTATCCCTTCATATTACAACGAACTACTTCCCTTGTTTCGAATTCTTTATAGTTCCCCACAATGTCTAACATTGGTAGTGTTTGATGCTCATAAGATCAGCAAGTGCTTTGAGCTTTGATTGCAATTAGTATGATCAACTATCTCTTGGAAAAATTAGCTGAGCAAGCAAGCTTTCTTGAAACTCATTTGAATATTGAGAAAGTTCCACTATCGTCACAATTTATACCAAAAAAATAAAATAAAAAGAAGTTATATTGAACGGAATAATATGTTATAATTTCAGGTACACTATATTTGCAACACATATGGAGAACCTGTCAGAATTAGCAAGTGTCTATCCTAATGTTAAGATTCTCCATTTCCAAGTCGACATAAAGGACAGTTGCCTAGATTTCAAGGTGGGTCTTTTAGCTTTATTTGATTGGAAGAAATTTTGTTGTGTGGCTTACTCTCTCTAAAATCCTCCATGGTTTGGCAGTTCCATCTCAGGGATGGGCCTCAACAAGTAAACCATTATGGCCTCCTGTTGGCTGGAGTTGCAGGACTTCCTGGCTCAGTAGTAAAAACTGCTCAAAGCATCACAGCAAGGATTGCAGAGAAGGTATGATGTTCCTCATTGTTCTTTTCTCTATAATGCAATACATAAAACAATTATGGAACGATGGCAAGTACTTTCCTTTTATAGGTGGTTGAGTCAAATCACTTCTAAACTGTGGTGAAAGTATCTCTATCTTTTCAAAGCATCACACAAAAAGCACAAAATCTTCAAAAAAGGAAAGGATATTTTGCTTAATGCCTTAACAGGACATTTTTTTACCTTTATTTGTTGAATGCTGATTGTTGGAAATCTAATTACTTACACGCAAGTTCTAAGGTTACAAGAAAAATGAGATATGAATAAAGAATATAATCTAGAAACTTAGGGAGTTTATAGAAAATTAGATTAGCAGATACTTTTTTTCTTTTATCGCTTTCTTTTTCTATTTATTTTATCATTATCGAGGATTGTCTCTCTCCTCTCCCATCCCTCTTATTTCTTGGTGCCCTGAGATTTTCTTATAAGTTCTTAAATCTCTCAAGATATCTCACCAATGAGAGCAATATCTACCACTATTTGTAAGCTGATCTTTCTAAGCTAGGTAACTTGCAGCTTGAGATATATCTTTCTTTGCTTAGTATCTTTAGGTTAGCAAGGTTAAAATAAGGTAAATGACTGAAATCAAGCTAAGAAAATTTAAATACTTGGGAACTGACAATTACACCCTCTTGCAAAACAACATGAATTCGCACTAATTATAGAAAATTCTTCAATCCCAAAGCACTTTTTGCCATGAGGAAGAAAACAAAGTTGAAAAAAGTAAAGTGCTACTTAAACAAAAGCTAGGTTAGCTTGTTTGGGGTTTTCAGGAAATGGGATAAACTTCAAGGTTCATACCCTTGACGTCCCTCACCCAAATCAATATCTATCAAAGCCGAAGCCTAAGGGACTAATTGGTGCGAAGTGATAGCTTTAAATGGCATGAGAAAAGCATGGAAATCTTAGATGGAAAGTCCCTGTATATCATTAGAGCATACTGCAGTCTTTTATTGGCAATAATTGAAGCCATATTTGCTTAGTTTCAAATTTTCTTTCAGTGTCTAAAAAGTACAATAAATTTTGCTGACAATTATTACAGGAAGCAACCAAGATGGAATTGAACTGTACACAATATCATTCCATCCGAATGGATTATAGGGTAGCTCAGAGGCTCATTTGCTTAAGATACTCAAACCAAGATAAGGACTGCATCAGACAAGCTCTCAAGGATCTAAAGCAGAGTTATATTGATGGGAAGCTAATCTAGTTCATGTGGGTAAATTTTCTCATCCCTCAAACTGATACATCGGCAAAAGTTATAAATAAGTCATGGCTATTGACCTTTTGAGGTCTCTCTCTCTCTCTCTCATCATTCACACACACACATGCTTCTCTTAAGCACTAGTAACTCTCTCGCTCTCTCTCTCTCTCTCTCTCTCACACACACACACACTAACAATCACACACACACACATGCAAGTACAAACCTATGTTAAATATCAAGGTTTGAAAAACCATTGATTCGGATCAGAATCACTTGATCTAGATTGGGTATCGTCGTCACCATTCTGGATCCCTCAATATTTTGGGATCTGGCTGGTTCGAGCCCGTTTGTAGCAGTTCTTTGCCAGACAAATGGATGGTTCCTAATGAACTAGACCTTTTCATTTTTTTAATAATAAATAGTGGTGGGGCCCGCCAACTTCACTTACATAAAAACCTATCATCACGCTTAGTGCATGAGCAATAGGGTTTTACACCTACCATCACACTTATTTCATGAGCAACAGCTTTTATTAGTGACGTGGGGTTCATAAGGTGCCATTTTCTCCCACAATCCTTCGATATGGGATATTGTTTGCTAGCCTTTTCTTTCCAACCTCTACAACATTTTCCATTACATGTCTACGTTTCCATTAACATATCTCTTTCTCTCTCTTGCTTTTACGTTTCCATTAACATATCTCTCTCTTGCTTTTACGTTTCTGTTAACATCTATCTTTCTCTTTTGCTTATATAAGGGCAAGTTTGATTACAAAAATGAAATTGTCTATAAAATAAAATTTATTTTTTATTTTTAGATTAATACTATTTATTCCATTTTTTATAATTTACAAAAAATAAAACTACATATAGTTAAGTTTTAACTACATATAATTAAAAAAGAAATTTCATATAGTTAATATACAAAACTTAGTTTAATTATATTGAAATTATTATTGTTTATTTATCTTAATAACATGTTAAACTTATGTCAGCATAAATATGTGAATATTATTACATTAAAATTATGTTAATATTATTATGTTGAATGAATATGATTATGTAAAAATAGTTAATTAATTTTATAGAGCAATAAAAATTAAATATAATTTTAAATTGTATTAAGTTGTTATTGTTATAAAAAATATATAACTAGTTGTTCAGACAATTCTGAGGCGTACATGGAACAACTCGATGAATTGTCGAGACAATGCACTAAGTGGCACCAATATGATGAAGAGGAAGAGCAACGACATGTTTCATTTTTGTATCAGGTTGTATTTTAATTGTTGCATGTTTCATTTTAGACCATATATTTATATCCATATTAATTGTAAGTTTTTTTTTTTTTTTTAAGTGATGTGAATTTAATCGTCAACAAACTTCCAGATAAGGAAACGTCTCAATATTCATGAATTTTTACAAAATAATGAAAGTTCACAATGCACCACCCCTATTTTTTAAATCTAAAAAAACACTATTTCTACGGATTTTTAGTTATTTTTTGAAATTTTTTGAGGCCAAAATCAGCTGCTCCGACCCGATTGGCCAGTTCGGGTCAGTGATCTATTTTTTTTAAACCTTGTTAAATACTGTTAACTCTCACTCTCATTCAAACACATGTGCGTGCATGCACACACATGCTCACACATACTAGCATAAACCTTTGCTAAGCACAAGTAGGGGTGGGAATGGGTCGGGTAGGGTTCGGATTTGACCTGAAATCCATACATCGGACTCAGATTCGATTTGGTCTTGGACTCGAACCTGATGGATTATACATTGAAAAAACAAAAACTTTGCTATAAAAATTTACTGAAAAACATGTACCTAAAAATTACCAAAAACATGCAAATGGCTAATAAGAAGATTTGGGCAATAATTCATCAATTTTTTCATTTTAAGACTAATAAGAAGATTTGTAGAGAAAAATGAATATCATATATTAAATAGTATATAAAAGAGTGTATATATTATGGGTGTGGTTTGTATAAGGTTGCAACCTTAAACAATCAATGAAATGTGCGCCTCCAAATTTTATCGCAATATATAATTTTGGTGTCAGAAATTCTTAGGATGGCCTAATAATCTATTTTCATCTCCAATTATGAAATCTTAAACTCCAAAATTAGTTCAAATCTAGTAGATTTATATGCACACGAGAATCTTAAAAATGGATGGTGTAGATAATGTGTTGCAAGATGTATTATATTTTGGACTCGAAATCTTTCTTTTTTCACATATTCATACATCTCGATATGGAGATGATCAATTAGAAGGTCTTCCAACATTAAAACAATCTTTTTCGACCCATTTTTGAAGTGCACCTTCATTCTAAAGTTTAAAGTTGCGATCTTATATAAACTTTCTTTATATTACTTTATTAGTCTTTATGAATTTATATATAAAACTATTGTATAATATCCAGGATCCTGACCTGATCCAAATTACTATTTGGATCCAAGATTTGAACCATCTAATGGTGTGCAGGCACCCCTCCATGTCGGCACTTCCAAATGTCATAAACATGCAATTCGGAAGTCTCGATGAATGCTCATGTCTCTCTTTGTCCTTAAATAAAAGTGCTCTAAATAACGTTTGCCCTTAAACTTCATTCTATCTTATGAGAAAGTATACAATAGGACCACAATTTTATCTTACCTTTGAAACAAGAATAGGATCACAATTTTATTTTACCTTTGATACAAAAAAGTCTTAATTGCATTTAGCCATGGGATATGAAATTGGTTGATTAGGTTATACCATTGGTCGGATCCAAAATCTAAAACATAAATTTCTTATACTTTGTGATACACCCCTATCCGGTGGATAATCTAATGGTTTGGGGCGATTGAAGTAAACAGTCTTAGAGGCCCTTATAGTGAAAGGCCCTCTTTTGAGAGAGTTTTTATTTCTCTTTTGAGAGGCCCTTATGGTTTGCTGCTTTACATTTTTCTTATTGGGTCTGGGCTTGTATTTTAACATTGTCCTTGATTAAACAATGCTCAAGACCAATCAAGTAACTGTGAAAACATTATTACGTGGGTATGTTTTTGGTCCATGGCTTGTGTAAAGCAAATTAGGAATTCAAATATTAATTGCCAGAAAACGTTTATCCAAGGTGGCAACCTTGTATCTTAGAAGTAAGGTGCACCTCAAAAGCCCACCAAAACATCTCATTCTGACATTGTAAAACCCTCTAATTGATCATCTTGAGTTTGAGATGTAGGAATACAAGAAAAATTGATTTCAAGTCTTGAAAATAGTTTACCCAAAAAAAATCTTAAAAATAGTGCTTATTGTATTGGATTGGTCATTTTCAGGATTTTCAAGTATTTATAGATTTTCTTGATCTACACTCTTTTTTGTAGGCTAAATTAGTGTTCGAAACCACTACTCGGGCCAAGTACTTGGCTCATGCTTGACCCCAATATTTAGCTTGAGTAGGGTTTAAATGTAGTTAAAAAAGTAGCAAAAAAATTGATTTTTAAAAGCTTAGTTTTTGATTGGGGATATTTTCAAAATTTTCTCAAAAAGATCAGAAAATGTAAAATAATTATTTATGGCCAAAATGTTTTCCAATATTTGCCAAAATGATAGAAGACATAAAAAAAAACTATTACAAATAGATTTCTTATTTTTTAAGATTTTCTTGAATTCTTCTTAATATCCCTGAGTTGGGCCCCCAACTCGGAATAAGAAACAGACGAATAAAATAGCTGTTCTGAGAATATCTAGATTGTGAATATTCTTCGCTCTTTTTTGTTTGCATATAACTTTTCCTTTTTCCGTGGAACACTATTGGAGCAAGGGTACTTCCGTCACGCCTTTAGGATTGGCATGAAAGTATACTAAGGCTTCCCTCACTCTAAGGGCCTGTCCACTCTAAGGTATATGGTGGTCAAAACCAAAACTCTTTAGGAAATCAAAGCCTAGAGGAAAATTCTATTGCAATTCATAGCCAAGATAGTAAGGCACCCTAGAGGAAGGCATTTTAGGCTTTTTGGCCCCCCTCTCGCTATCTTTTCTATGCCATTAGCTCTCTCTTGTGGTGAAAACCAAAGCCTAGATTAAGATTTTATTGCAAATCATAGACAAGATAAAGATCTTGGATGCCAAAAATGCGTGTGAAATGCCACTCTAGAGTAAGGCACTTCAGGCTTTTTGGCCCCCCTAAATTCCTTCTTGCCATCTTTTCTATGCCATCAGATCTCTCTTGTGGTGAATGCCAAAGCTCTATCAAAGGCTAGATGAAGATTTTAGTGCACATCATAGTTAAGATAAAGATTTTGGATGCCAAAAATGTGTGGTGAGATACCACTCTAAAGAAGACACTTTAGGCTTTTTGGCCCCCTCTTGCCATCTTTTGTATGCCATCAGATCTCTCTCGTGGCGAAAACCAAAGCTCTTTAGGAAATCAAAGCCTAGATGAAGATTTTATTGCAAATCATAGCCAATATAAAGATTTTGGATGCCAAAAATGTGTTGGGTCCACTTTAAAGGAAGGCACTTCAGGCTTTTTGGTCCCCTATTGCCATCTTTTCTATGCCATCAGATCTCTCTTGTGGTGAAAACCAAAGCTCTTCAGGAAATCAAAGCCTAGATGATGATTCTATTGCAAATCATAGCCAACATAAAGATTTTGGATGCTTAAAATGTGTGGTGAGATGCCACTCTAGAGGAAGGCACTTTAGGCTTTTTGGCCCCCCAAAATTCCTTCTTGCCATCTTTTCTATGCCATCAGATCTCTCTTATGGTGAAAACCAAAGCTCTTTTGGAAATCAAAGCGTAGATGAAGATTCTATTGCAAATCATAGATAGCCACGATAAAGATTTTGGATGCCAAAAATATGTGGTGAGATGCCACTTTTAGGAAGGCACTTTACGCTTTCTGGCCCCCCAAAATTCCTCTAGAGGAAGGCACTTTAGGCTTTTTGGCCCCCCAAAATTCCTTCTTGCCGTCTTTTCTTTGCCATGAGATCTCTCTTGTGGTGAAACCAAAGCTCTTTAGGAAATCAAAGCCTAGATGAAGATTCTATTTCAATTCATAGCCAAGATAAAGATTTTGGATGCAAAAAAAGTGTGGTGCGA